CTGTTATCGTCAGTCCACCTTTTGTACCATTTTCTGTTAACTAAATCAGTTGTCTTGCACGTGGAGCACATGATTCTTCTCTTGCAAAGATTAATCAGATCAGTATTAGATCTCACAAAACAAGGAAGATTATTATTAGTAACAACATAATTACGGGATGAAACAGATTAAGATCTATTAACCCAAATGCTTTTAACTTTTGAAGAATAATTGGGTGATCTGATGACGTACCCTTGATAATACTGATTAGAAGAATGAGAATAGTTCTTAGAAACAATAGATTTAGGACTGCTTGAATAACTGTTAGACTTAGAATAGTCATAAAAGTTGGTTTTACACTGTGAAGGAGAACCAGTTGAGCTTTGAGCATAAGAAAAATCTTTGACTTTCTTTAAAAGCTGGTCTCGTTCATCAGTAACTAAATCATACTTTTCTTTAAGTTAAGTTCTCATCTTCAATTTAATTTCAAGTTATGTCTTTAGATCAGACAATTTCCTTGAAGTATCCAGGAGTTTACCTTCTAACTCCTTTTTCAGCTTCTCAAATTTCTTCTTCTCATTATCAAACTCTCTTCTCTCTTCATCTGAGCTGCTTTTCTCATTTTCAAAAGCAATATCGAGCCACTTTTTCTTTTCTGCAAGCTCTTTAGCTATAGCTGCATATTTCTTTGTAGTATTTCTCTTTTCAAGCGCAAATTGCTTCTTCTCTTTATCTAAAGCCTTCTGCTTTTGAGCAATGCAGTCAGACATTTTCTGATTCTGGCTCAGACATTCTTCTCTGATGTCTTCCTTCTCTTTATCAGTCTTGGCTCGTTCCAAGATGATCAGCTGCTCAAAATCAGAGATCTGCTTTAACGGCATTTTAGCGTTCAGCTCAAGAGAGTTTATCTTATTTTCATAAGATATGCGTTCAGCACCGAATCTTTTCTCTACTTCAAGAAACCTTTTCTTCTCTTTCTCAAAATCATTCCTTTCAGTGCTTAAACTCTTTTCATCTTTCATAAATTTCTCCTTTTCTATATCCAGTAACTTTCTTAAATCAATCAGATCACCCTCAGACTTATGAAATTTCTTACTTAAGTCCTCAGTCTCTGTATTAGTCCTTCCAAAAGAGTTTCTCTCAATTTGCAGTTCACTTCTAACCACTTGAAGTTTATTAAACAGATCTTTATTAGTTTTACTCCAAGTTTTCAATTCATCATCATACTCTTTTCTGACAGAATTCAGAGTGTTCTCCAACTTTTCAATCCTATACATGAAACCATTTTTAATATGTTCACATCTTTCTTTATGTTCCCGTTTTAAATCTTTAATAAATTCCTCATTTGCATGATTTTCATAGAACATATTCAAATATTTCTCTTTATAATCATGCACACTTTTCTCTAACTCAATAAACTTCTCTTTCAATTCCTTATTCTCCTTCTTAAAATAAACTGCCATTTCAGATTGATCAATGAATCTAATGGTGTGAAATCAGTTCAAAGAAATCAAAAACAATTAAGCTAAAAAAATAACAGAAAAAACACAAAAACTTTTGAGAAATCAGAAATTCAGCAAAAACTGTAAAAAATTTCAATAAAACTGTCAAAACTGTTGAAAACAGTTAAAAACGGTTAAAAACAGTCCAAAAACAATTAAAACTGATTAAAAACAGTTTAAGTGACACAAATCAGAACAAAATTCTCAAAAACAGTTCAAACGATGAAAACAGATAAAATCTAGAAAAAACATATAAAATGTGAAAAAAAAAATTGAAATCAAGATAAAGTTTGATCCAAACAAAAATTGACTAAAAAATTGGGCTTTAAAATGGGCTAAGAAATGGAAAAAGAATTTGATGGGGTAAGTAAAAAAAACAATGGGCTAAAAATATAATAAAGCCCAAGATGGAATCAAGCCCATAGTCCAAAATGAATTGAATTTAGTGCGATGAAGGACAATCTGGATATGTAGGCTATAATCTTGAATAGAGAACCGAGACTGATCAATCGAGAAAAAAATCGGATATGGCTATGAACGAGAAATGACTAAATCGGATGAGGCACGACCAAGTCTTGAGCGATGATTAAATCCGGATAAGGGTACTTTGGAATACGATCAAGGTGTTGTCCGCTTAAATCTTGTATCGACTAAGTACTGAATTCAGGAAAGCACAAGAGCGAGGAACCATAAATCGACTAGGCCTGCATGCGATGTAACTTAAATCGTACAAGCCTATGACCGATAAAAACCAAATCCGGATGGTTTTGTATGCGAGGAATGTGAAATCGGAGAACACGGCCTTCGATTTAAAAGAAATCGAACAAGGTTAGTTGTGCGATGGACACGATAGACAGCAAGCAAGCGATATTGAAAGAATCCAGATGAAAATCGATGAGTAAGCAGTGATTTATGTTAAATCTGAGCGATGTTATTGAGTGATTAAACTGGAATCGAACACTATGGTGAACGATTTAGAACAGTGAACAAAAATTGCAAGTGTCTTTGTAATCAATGAAAGATGCCAAGTCCGGACACCTTGTTGTTCGAGGTATGGATGCGAGCAACAGTCGTTAGGCCGAGAAACAAAAGTCCGACTAATACAGTGTCCGGGAATAAGGATGGCCTTTGTGCGATTTAGGCTAAACAAAAATTGGTTAAGTAAAAACTAGTTGCAAGGATATGCGATTAAGCAAGAACCCGGCTAACTGACATGCGATTTAGACTAAATCGGTTGAAACTGCCAGCGATTTCAAATCTCAATATCGGATGAACTTTTGAAAGAGGTGAGCGATGAAGATAACCTATGTGATGAGAAAGAAGGCCTAAATCGGATGGGCTGCCTTGTGATTTAGATAGAAATCGATTAATGGGTTGAGCGAAGAACGAAGAACTCGGCTGAAAGCTTGAGCGATTTTGAAGAAAATCGATGACTGAGTTGAAATAGCTTGCAATTTTGAAGTAAATTGAAGAAAAATTGAGCGAGGAAGATGATAATCTTGAGAGACTGTATCCGATTTAGAAGAAAAAAGTGTTGGGCTGCTTTGGAGATAAGATTGGGCCTAAACCGGTTGGGTCAAAATACAAGGATGATAGGTCACTTTGATGATCAATCTTCAATACACCTTAAGAATCCATATCTGGATCTAACACTCAAGAACTTCAAGAACGTATAAGATGAGAATAGAGAGAGAAAGTCAACAATAAAAGCTTTGGTCAAACTCTCTTTATGTAATACGATTTTTACAAATGAGCTCTCTACTAAATTTACAAAGACATCACCCTATTTATAGGGTGAAACTACTAAACAAAAGTCAAAGTCAAACCTATCTAAGAAAAGTCAAACACGATGACTTTTCTACAATTTTATCTTTCAAGACGAATACAATTTTGCATAGAATTTCATTCCTAACATTCTCCCCCTTTGTATTCAGACTTGAAAGAAATTCTGCACTTTGAGTCCTGTTTGAACTTTGAATCTTTAGGCACATTATGTTACCTTCAAAAGAATTCTTCAACAATAAATCTTAAAGCAATCAACTGTTGAGAAAGATCTTCTAGCATTCTCCCCCTCGAATGTAGAACCGCGGTGATCTTCTATTTTGACAATGTACAACGGTAATTGTCAGAAACAATGTACAAATGTGATCTTCAAAGAATATTCAGAATTAATCTTCAGTAAACTGTTGTAAAGATGATCTTCACWTTCAACATCTCTCAGTCGTTGTAGCACATGAAAAATCTTTCTGTAATTATCTCCAGTCGCACTTCTTTTGAGTCTTTTGCCAAATTTGAAGTTACTCCCCCTTGATCTTTGCATCAGATTCCCTTTAAAAATGTTCGGAAATGATATTTCATTCATTATTACATACTCCAAATGAGATGAGATCTGGATCTAACACTCAAGAACTTCAAGAACATATAAGATTAGAATAGAGAGAGAAAGTCAACAATAAAAGCTTTGGTCAAACTCTCTTTACGTAATATGATTTTTACAAATGAGCTCTCTACAAAATTTACAAAGACATCACCCTATTTATAGGGTCAAACTACTAAACAAAAGTCAAAGTCAAACCTATCTAGGAAAAGTTAAACACGATGACTTTTCTACAATTAAAGACAATTTTAACTTTCAAGACGAATACAATTTTACATAGAGTTTCATTCCTAACAAAGGACTTGAGCGATTTATCTAACAAAAACACAAAATTATTAACAAAAAATGAATAAAAAACACTGACTTTTAAAAAAAATTCAAGAACACGAAATTTTTTAAAATCACAAATTCAATCAAATCTTGAAATCTGATGATCAAAATACAAAACTTTGTGTACAACAAAGATTCACAACACAATTACGAACAGTTTGCTCATGATTTTAACATACAAACATAAGATTTTGAAAAAAAATTAGATCAAACTCAAGAAAAATTGAAGAATAAGATGAACATCAAGAAAATTCCAAAAAAATTCTTCAAAGATTCTTCAAATCAGTTGATTTCTTCTTCCGATTTCTTGCACAATCTGCTCTGATACCAATTGATAGTCCTCAAAATGATCAATCTTCAATAATCTTGTAAGAATTCATGGCAATTCATGATATGAACTTGTAAGAACATGAGAGGAGATGAGAGAGAAAGTCAATTCAGTCAATGGTCTATATTCTTCTCAAACTTTACGTAATGTACAAAATGAAGCTCCTTACAAAATCACTAAAGACAAAATCTATTTATAGGGTCAAAGATAAACCCTGTAGTCAAAGTCAAACTTCATAAGGAAAGTCAAACACGATGACTTATACAATTATAGACAAATTTATCTTTTCAAGACAAATACAATTTATACTGAAATTCAGTCCTAACAAGCCTTACCCTTGAGGTACATTCTTTACCCCTCCCAAGCGCTTCAGTGCTCTACTCAGACACTACCACTACTAAACACCCACTAACTTTCTCAACCATCCTTTCTTCTCCCTCTCCCTTCTCCCTTGGTCTCTATCATTCGTGTTGATGATCCATCAATGGTTGTCCCCACTGGTGGTGAAGCACTCACCATGGGACCTGAGGTCGCTCCTCTCGAAGTGCCTCAGATACTTGTTGCCTCTCCTCAGGAAGACACATGTGCATATACCAGAGTCAATCCCTCAGATGACACTGAGGACCCCTCAGGTACTCTATTACATTACCATTCTTTCTTTTCTACAAACATAGAGCTTTCTTACGCTCAACTGCTCCTATTTTGACAGGTCCTCCTGGAACTGAACCCACAGCCATGGAGACTAACATCTATGACATGGCTGAGGATGTCAAACTTCTACTGCCCGCTGTAGCCATCATCCTTGACAAAATAGACAAGGTTCACAAGGCAATGCCTTTGAAGGAAGACCTTACTCATGGCCTATATGTTATCAAAGTTGAGGTCTATGAAGTAAAGGATATCCTGACAACAGTACAATCTGAAGTCCAAGCCAACACTGAGGTTGTCGCTATTCTCGCAAGCAAAGCCGATGAGTTCCAAGCTCAGCTCACCAGGCATTATGAGTTGCTTCAACAAATATTCGAGCTCCTGTAGCAACCAGCCCCGGTCCGTGAACCCACTTTCATTGAATCTAATCGTCATCAACTGGACCGGGTGGCCACCTTCAATCTACTACAAGCTGAGGCTTTCTCAAACTTAGAGCATCATGTCAAAGACATCTCAGCAAGTCTTAATGATCTCACCTCATGTATTGATAATGACAAAGAGATGGAGAAAGACAAGAGTGAGAAAATTACTATAAACAATGCTAGTTATGTTGTTGCCGTTGAGGATGCCATCATAACTGATGAAGCTGAAGCTGAGGATGATGATGATGTCGTGATAGCTCCAGCTACTCATGAAGACCTTCCATCCACCTGTGCATTGCAAGATGTTGGTGATGATGAAGAGGAAAATGAGAATGAAGAATCTCAAATCCTTGAGTTTGGACAAGACCTTGGAGACAACGATGACGATGAAGACAACGATGATGATGACATCACCATTCAATATCATCGAATACCAGCTCAGAAGGGAGTCTCCCTTAGGGAACTAGCTTCCCAGGGGGAGAGAACCTCAAGGAACCAGCACTCTTCCAAGGACAAGGGAGTGGGTGAAGAAGGCAACCTCGCCCTTCTCTTCAAGGCGATTGATCCAATGAAGGTAGCACAATGATCCAGTTCATGCCCTTCCCGTCAGATTCTGAGCCATCTACTCTTCTACTCACTGCACCAACAAACCTTTATGGTCCTCCAGATGAAGAGGTAGCTAATATTCCAACATCTGAAGCTGTTATGGACCAAAGGATGATTCAGCTGAGAAGTTCGCTCAACCAAACCATAGTAAAAACCCCTCTTCGTACTCTAGTTGTGGCGAATGAGAAATGAGAAAAAGCCCTGAAAGCCGAAGAAGAGCTGAGCATAAAATGTCAAAAAATGAAAGACAATCTAGAGCTTGCCAAGTCTCTAGCTGTTCAAACCCTATCCAAAGGGAAGAAAGAAAAAGGATCTAGTTAAAGCTCAGGCTCGGCTTTTGTCACAAGTTGAACGAGAACATCAATGGGCGCGGACGTTGAAAAACCGAGACCTGAAGTGGTGCAATGAAAAGATCAAGAAAAGGATTACTCCCCACAATATCTCAAATGTCACCATCAGCAGATGGATGAAGGATGGTGGACTCCTCATTTCTATGGTCATCTTCAGAGAGAACCAAGATTCTGTCACCGAGCACCAATCTAACCTCGGGCAGTATGGCTTCGATGAATGGCTAGAGATTCGATAAGCTATTCAACAATCAAAGTGAAAGAATAAGCCGCTGATTGAAGACATTTTAAATGATTTATTCAAAAAGGTGTCCAAGATCGTCGAAGTCCCTCCTTTCCCAGAGAAGCCTCTCAATAGAAGAAAACACCTTTCATATCCTGAAGATGGACCATCCCATAAGAACGAACACTAGATTAAATTCTCTTTGGATGAAATCCTGAAGGATCGAAAGAAGTCGGATCTCTCAAAGCTGAACCTGACACTGCCAGCGAAGGGTCCCTACATACCCAACATTATGCATGTGAAACCTGAGTTTGGACTCATATTCATTGACTATGACGGTGAATACAGGTTCCAACGAGTATCTGAGTTCCACCTCTATCAAATAGATCACTTAGAATATCTAAGGACATGGCTAGATAATAATATCTATGGAGACATGATGGAATGCAAGATCAAAAAGGAGATGCTGAGACACAAAAGATCGGAGAAGATGTACCCGGTTATATCAACTTCAGCGACTTAATTTAGACGTTCTTTCTATCTTGTAATCTTTATTTTCTTTTCTTTACTTTTAGTGTATACCCTATATGTAATAGGTCTACCAGTAATAACAAAAGACTTGTAATATTTTTTATTGTTTAATATTCAATGAAATCATCAGTTCACTGAAAAAGATCCCTGAAAAGAGTAAAAGGGACAAGTATTTGAGTTCCAGTACTCTTACATTCACTGACAACTTTCTAGTCAGTAAATATGCTTTTAGTTTTCGTTATCATTATTATGTCAGTTTATCCTTGAACTTGTAATCCTTTACAACTTTAAGTATATTTTCATAAGTAAATTGTATCAATGAAAAAGATCCCAAAACTGTTAAAAGGGACAAGTATTTTACTAGTACCTTTTTTTTATTGATGTAACTTAAGCAATTTTCTTTATGTTGCTTTGTCATCATCGAATGGGGGGGGATTTTTTATCTTCTCTCTCAATGATTTGATGATGATCCTTTTATCTATCGAAGTGTATAATATCTATATTCAATTTCAGCGATCTTAGAGTTTGTTCGATGAACGCTAAACATGTATTGTAATTCATTCATGGAAAGATATACTTTAAGAAGACAAAACTCACATCCTCGATCCTTCAGCGATGTCGAAGACAAAAAAAAGATTAGAGACTAGCAAATTTATGATATGAAGTGGTAATCAATGATAACAAACTCGTCTACAAATGTGTGAAGTCTGCGCAAGATTCAACGAACACTGATGAGACCTTTCAACGTCATTCCAGTGTTCAGCGATCAAATGAATCTTGTCCAGCATGATTGTTTTTGTCTTGTCCTTCTACACACAAAGTACAACCCCATACCTTTCTAAGTGTAGTACAGTATAGAGCCACTCCTTTGACTCTAAACTTGTTTACCTACTTTATGAGAGAGAACTGCTCATATATAGCCAAAAGGACTGTATACTATAGCAATGAACAAGCTTTTCTCTAAAAGCTTGCCATGTGGCCTGTAATTTCTTAATTGCATTTAATGCAATGGGTGTAAATAGCTAAGTGGTTCTCCTCTCAGTCATCATCTTCCTCATTAAGAACTTACCCAAGAAGTTGATTCTCTCTACTCTCTATGTAAAAAGAAAGACCCACTTTAACATGTGAAGAGCACATTTCTTCTTACCATATTTCTTGTAGCAAATATTTTCTTATAGCTATCTATATTTTTTGTGTATCATAGATTGTTTAGATGAGTTCTTTATCATATTTCTTCTGCAAACAATCTGTAAAATTTGTATTGATCTTCTTTATCAATATATAATTTTTAAAGTGAAAGTTATTGTGTTTGTATTCATCCCCCCACTTCTACAAATTGTTACCGATAAACTCTTGCAGATCTGGTTGGGACCAACTGTTGGTCCCAGCTAGATCTACAAGATTTTATAGGTAATAGTTTGTAGAAGGGGGGGATGAATACAAACACATAAAATTTCACTTTTAAATTTATATATTGATAAAAAAATGATCAATACAAATTTTATAAATTGTTTGCGGAAGAGATAAGGTAAAAAAAAACCTACCTAAATAATCTAAAGGTACACACAAATACACTTAGCAAATAGAAAAGATTTGCTGTAAGAAATTAAGACTTCGAAAGGTGTTATTCACTTGTTTGAAGTGGTTCTTTCTTCTTAGAGAGAGTAGAGAGAGAGGTATCTTCTTGGGTATGCTTTTTAGAATGATAAAGACATTACAATTGTTTCTGTTATCTTAGTGGAGAACCCTCAGCTATTTATACCCGTTATATTAAATGCAATTCAGAAGGTACACAACACGTGTCAAGCTTTTGGAGGAAAGCTTGTCCTTTACTACAATGACTAATTTGTAATTACCGAATACTGCTTCAAATTACGAACACACTTGTCTCTAATCTTCAGTTTCTATCTTCGACATTGATGAAGATTCTTTGGTGTGAGTTTTATCTTCTTGAAGTATAAGAGTCACTAGAGATTCACAATGCATGTTCAGCGATCACTGAACAGACTCAGTGATGATCGCTAATATTGAATAAACAAAAACACTATACTTCGATAGGCAAAAGGGAATATCATCAAATCAATGAGAGAGGATCAACAATCTTCCCCTATTTGATGATCACAAAGCAACATAAAGAAAATCTCCTAGGATACAATAGTAAGTAAAAGTTACAAGTAAAGAACAAGTCTTTTTAACTATTTTGGGATCCTTTTCATTGATACAGTTTTCTTATATAAGTTTTCTTAAGTTGTAAAAAATTACAAGTCCAAGAGAAACAAGTACAAGAATGATAACTGAAACTGAAAGCATTTTTTAGTGACTGAAGGTTGTTAGTGAATGTAAAAACTGGAACTCATAGATGCATGTCCCTATTACTCTTTTCAGGGATCTTTTTCAGTGGTACAAGAGAAATACTTATATTATTCATTGGAAAGATACAAGTATTACAACAGTAAGTTATGGACTTATTACATATAAGTTATACACTGAAAGAAAAGATATAGAAAACAAGATTCAAGATAGAAAGTTTTAGCTAATCTAAGTCACTGAAGTTTATGTAACCAGGTACATAGATATTCCTTTTTGATCCCGCGGTCCATCATCTCACCATTTAGATCATTGTCCAACCAAGATCTTATAAATTCAAGGTGTTCTATTGGACAGAGACGGAACTCAGATACTCTTTGAAAGTTGTATTCGTCATCATAGTTAATGAATATAAATCCATACTTAGGCTTGAAGTGCACAGTGTTGGGTGTGTAAGGACCCTTCGCTGGCAGAGTGGGGTTCAGCATAGAGATATATGGCTTCTTCGAATCCGTTAGGATTTCTTCTAAGAAGAACCTTGTTTCATGTTCATTCCTCAGAGTTGGTCCATCATTAGTATTTGAAGGTTTTCTTCTTCTACCTGGCATCAATGTTGGCACTAGAGGAACAACAAATACCTGGACATCTTCTTGATAAGATCATTGAGTATATCTTCGGTTATTTGTTTGTGCCTTAACTTTGAGCATTGAATGATTGGTGTATTTCCAGCCATTCACTGTAGCCATATTGACCAAGGTAGGAAGGATATTCAGTGACTGCATCAAGGGTGTCTCTGGTAATGACCATAGAGATGAGCGTTCCTCCATCTTTCATTCGTCCACTGATTGTGACATTTGAGATGCAATGGGGAATTATTATTTTCTTCAAGAAATATTCGCTCCATCTCATGTCACGGTCTCTTAGTGTCAGTGCTCTTTGATGTTAATTCTCAGCTTGTGAGAGCAACTGAGCCTGAGCCTTGACATGGTTCATATTTTTAGACTTTCCTTTAGGAAGAACTTTAATAGTGAGTTACTTGGCCAGCTTGAGGTTGTCTTCAGTCTGTTGACGTCGAATGCAAAGTTCTTCATCGGTCTTCAGCACTTCCTATCTTTCAGCATCTATGAGGAAGTCAAACTCACCACAACCAGAGGTGGGAAGAGGATATTTTACTCTGGTTTGGTTGAGGGACTCCCTCAGCTAAGTCATCCGTTGATCGAGAAGAGCTTCAGATGTTGGGATAGGAGATATACTTTCATCTAGACGACCACAGGTAATAGAAAAGGTGATAGTAGAGAGTTGAGAGCGAGAAGTAATGGTAGTAAACCTAGACCACTGAGAAATCCTTAAGGGATTTATAGGTCTGAAAAGAAAAACCACCATTCCAATTTTAGCAACACCTTTGTTCTTGGAGGAGGTGTTCTGGTTCTCTTGATATTTCTCTTTCTCCCCCTGGGAAGAAGATTCTATGAGAGAGACTCCTTTTTTAGCAGGGACAGGTCTGGTGTGGAATTGAATAGTGAAAGTCGTCCTCATCATCATCATCATCATCACCTAAGTATTGTCCAACAT